GAGGTGATGGCACACTTTGATTGCTATGCTTGGATTACGGTGTCCCAGCCGTACAGGGTTGAGGATCTTCTGAGGACGGTAATCAAAAAGCTCTACAGTTCAAGGAAGGAGCGTTTCCCAGAAGAAATTGACACAATGGATGAGGAGTCCCTGATTAGCACATCAAGAGAGTATTTGCAGCAAAAGGAGTACGTTGTTGTGTTTGATGATGTGTGGAAAGTAGATTTTTGGGGGGCTATAGAACGTGCTTTACCCGATAATAAAGGCGGACGAATAATTATCACTACACGGATTCAAGATGTTGCCAATTTTTGTAAAAGGTCCTGTTTTGTTCATGTTCATCACTTGCAGCATCTGCCTCGAGACAAGGCATGGGAATTGTTTTGTAGAAAGGCATTTCAGTTTGAATTGGAGGGAAATTGTCCTGAAGAGTTGGAAGAGTTGTCTCTTAACATCGTCAAAAGATGCGAAGGTCTACCCTTGGCAATTGTTTCCATAGGTGGTTTGCTGTCAACTAAAGCTAAAGTTGTGTCTGAATGGCAGAAGTTATACAATAGCTTAAGTTCAGAGTTAGAAAGAAATCCCCACCTTACAAGCGTCACAAGAATCCTATCCCTCAGCTATCACCATCTACCGTATTACCTCAAATCGTGTGTGTTATACTTTGGCATTTTTCCCGAGGATTACTCGGTTAGTTGCATAAGATTAGTTCGGTTGTGGATCGCTGAAGGCTTTGTGAAACCGAAGAGGGGCAAGACACTAGAAGAGGTTGGAGAGGAATATTTGATGGAGCTAATTCACAGAAGCCTGGTTCAAGTTTCAGAAGTTTTCACTGATGGAAAAGCTCGAGCTTGTAGAGTTCATGATCTTTTGCACGAAGTCCTACGTAAAACGGGTGTGGATTCGAGCTTCTGTCATGTGTTATCAAAAGATGAGTCGACTTTTAAACCAACAAATCGACGTCTCTCAATGGACATCAGTCCCTCTGAGGCCCTGGGAAGCATTACACAATCTCATATTCGTTCTGTATTTACTTTCAACCTAGAAGAATGGCCCGAGTCTTTTCTCGATACATTGAGTGGAAACATTAAACTTCTGAAAGTATTGGATTTCATGGATGCTCCAATCAATCGACTTCCGAAATATGTGGGGGATTTGTATCTCTTGACGTATTTAAGCCTGAGGAATACAAAGGTGAAGTTGCTTCCAGACTCCATAGGCAATCTACTAAACTTGGAAACCCTGGATCTAAAACAGTCTCTGGTATATGAAATACCAGCCAAGATCAGTAAGCTTGTTAAGCTGAGGCATCTTTTGGCCTACCATGGTGACTACAACTACGATGTGGGTTTGTTCTTGAATATGGAAAAAGGAGTGAAGATACATGAAGGTATTGGATGCTTACAAGCTTTGCAAAAACTGTGCTACGTGGAGGCGAATCATGGAGGGATCAGGCTAATCAAAGAACTGGGAAAGTTAAGACAGCTGCGGAAGTTAGGCCTAAAAAACTTGAAAAGTGAAGATGGAAGGGCTGTGTGTGCTTCTGTTGAAAAGATGAACCACCTTGAATCTCTAATTTTATCTGCAGTAAATGAAGATGAAGTCCTTGATCTAGAATCCATTTCAACTCCACCACAATTTATCCGTGCTCTCCGCTTGATAGGGTGTTTAGAGCAGTTGCCAGGTTGGATTTCAAATCTTCGACACCTAGTCAGGATAACCATCCTTTGGTCAAGGTTGAGAGATTCCCCACTGAAAGCCCTTCAAAATCTACCTAATCTGTTGGAGCTAGTTTTGGCTATCAATGCCTATGATGGTGTGCAGCTGCATTTTGAGGAAGGAGGATTTCAGAAACTTAGAGTGCTAGGACTCAGGGAAATGGAGGGACTAAATTCTTTGATCATAGACGATGGGGTCATGCCTCTTCTGCAAGAGTTTCACGTTGGACCTTCCCCACAACTGAAGGAGGTGCCCTCTGGCATCCACCATCTCCGGAATCTGACATATCTTAATTTCTGTGACATGCCAAAGGAGTTTACGCGGCAGATGGATCCAAAAAATGGCCAACATTATTGGATTGTTGAACATATAAAAAATGTTTGTTTTAGTTACAAGGTCGGACCAAGATGGGGTGCATATGAAAGTCATGCCCTGCGTGATGCCAGCTCTTCTCTTTGATCGAATGCTTGATTCCAACTTGTGAAACCAAGCATGGGAATGGAACATGTTTTGGTTAAGAGTTGGTTGTTAGCTGTGGTATCCTAGTTTCTGTTGCAGGTTGACTGGGAGGGGCTCTTTCTCTTCTGTTTTCTTTGTGTCGTCCAGTCGTCCGCATTTTCCTTGTAAATTTATTGGTGGTTGCAATAAAAATGTCCTATCTAATTAATTTTCTTACGAAAATGATAAACCATATGCTCTTTTTAACTCACTTTGATCATTGAAGTTAAAATATTAAATTTTTACTATTTTTTGTCTTACCTATTCTTTACTAATTTATATTCTTTATATTAATTTGTAATCTCTAAGATATTTTGTCAATCAAAGGGTAGATTTTATGGATTATAGAAATTTCATGAATTATGATTGAGCTTTCTCCTTTTGTATGCACAGATTGATCCAGCCACACATATTTTGTATGCACAATAGTGGAAAAATTTTGAGTTCTTGCATGACAATGTATGTTCAAATTCCATGAATAGCTAATTTAACATCTAAAGGTGAGGACCCACAAATGCAAGCGTTGGGGGTAGGGGAGTGGATCCCACGATTTCAAAATTCTAGACCGGAGGAACATTTCTCTCAAACTTGGGCGCTAAAAAATGTCGTCGTCTTTCCTTTTCTGGCTGAGTTTGCCTTCTTAAACTGTAACGACATATCCGCAAAAATTATAATATTTATAAATTTTAAATGTGAATTTACGGAAAATGCCCTTTGAGGCAAATCCATTGACTTTTGTAGACCGTCTTGTCGTGTCATGTAAGATCCATTTGGTTGGCGTATTCTTGTAGTACTTGTCACTACGGAAGCGTGGGTGCAAACGTAACGCAATTTGGAGTTCTAAAGATTGCCAGAAAATCTGCAAAATTTGGCGACTGGAGAGGTTGAAGAGGAGGAATATTCCCTGCATTGACTGTTGATTTTTGTTGATTCTTTTCAGGTTTTGACACATGATGTAAGATAGGGTAATTCCACATTCTAAATCCATTTTTGATATCCATTTAGTGAAATTTTAATATTTTAATGTAATTTCATAGTTGATTGGCTAATTGACAGCCACATGAATTTGTGAGTGGCGGAGATCCAACTGTCGGATCATGGTAAGATTTTAGTATGTTATTCTAGAAGCATAATGTGGATCTTTGGAAGTTACGGATAAAAAATCCAAGGTGCGGATCTTCTAGATTGAGTTATGTAGGGTTATGAACCCTACTATCGACCTTTGACTGACGATTGATTTTTGGTCAATGTGTCTCAGATCATTATATAACGTCTTTATGGATGTGTTTTATGTAAGTTACGTGCTCTATTGATAAGGATTCTAAGATGTGGTTTGATAATTGTTCTAGGCGTTGATCATTCGTGACGCCTCGATATTCGTGTTAGGGAGTTGTAGCGTGGACTTGAGGTGAGTGGGCTTTTGGTTTTCTATATACGTATATATGTTTTCCATTTTCCCAAAAATGGTTTTAAATGGATTTACGTTTTTAAATGTCATGTCAATTGCATTACATTTTAGTATATGCATTAGTATAGATATATGCATACTATTGCATGACGCTGCGGACGCCCAGGTAAGCTTCAGGTGAGTGCATATTGATGATAGTAATTGCAGTGTGTATGGTTATGTTTGGATGCATTTAGTGCTCATTATCTTGCACTGCGATGTTAGTGTTCTGCCCGAGGCCAGAGCCTAGCCTTCACATGATTGTTCACCTCCCGCACCACACACTCACCTTGGATCCAAGGCAGGTGTCAGCCTATCGTACAGACCACATTAGGTGGTTCCGACTCGTAGGTGACTTGCGATACTTTGCACAGCCTTCACATGATCGTAGCACTTGAGCGTACTTTTTACACCCAGCCTGTCGTACATACCACATTAGGTGGTTCCGACTCGTGTGCAGGAATAGGTTGATGAGTTATAGGTTCAGTCGTACAAGTCACATTAGGTGACTATGACTGGCATATTATTTTATATTGATTTCACACATGTCTTACATCTTTTAGTGCTAAAACGTTATGACATGGCATACTTCAGCTTTTACTGGCCCTGTGCATTGGTTTTCGTATGTATATACGTAGTATTATTTTCTAGAAACTATATGGGTTTTACAGCAAGGGGTTATAACGTTTTCAAAAGGTTTTTATTAAAACTTTATTCTCAGGCCCACTTACCCTTATTTTTTTCGCCCCTTCAGGTTTTAGCTGCTAAAAGTTCGTATCGACGAGAATTCTTGGCGAATCTCAATATAGCCACCTTCGAGGGCATGATCCTTACCACACTACTGTACTTTACTTATGCTTTGACGTCGCGTGTAATATGGGTTCATTCCCCTCACAGCACATTCTTGTCTTTAGCCACTTTTAGGTTTAAATTTATTCACATTTTCCACATCACTATACTCTATGGCTTCGTCACCTTCCAGGTGTCGGCCAGCACAACTTGATTTAAAGTCCTAGTGAACATTCTGGGTCGGGGTGTGTCATAAACCAACTCAGAATTCTCACCCCCAAACAAATATTCAAACCTTTCCGTTTCTTACCTTCACAAATTTCCAATTAGGGTTTCACATTAACTTTGATCAGAACTTCTACGAGTTAATTACACAAACACCCCCTGAGGTTTTTTATGTTTTCACAAAACCCCCATAGGCTCTCAACATATCACAAACACCCATTGACATTTTAAAATCATTTCATCAACCTCCCTCCATGACAAAAAAAACCCCTAGCAGTCATGACTTAGTTATGAAAATACAAAAATACCCTTACGAAGTTAAAAAAAAATTGACAAGTCCGAAGCTGTGTTGCTGAAGCCGAATCGGAAGAAGAAGAAGCAGGTGTCGTGGAAGGAAGGAACGGTGGACAACGAGTTTATGCAGAAGAAGAGCTCCAAAAAGTGCTGCATCTTCCACAAGCAGAAGCCCTTCGACGAGGACGACAGCGACGATGATGAACACCATCACGACCACGATCACCCCTCACCTGCTTCTTCAGGCATTAACAGCGACCATTAAAAGACTGTCGATCGGAGCACGGAGGCAGAGACATGGGCTGGAAACTGGAGTGGTAGGCAAAGTTGCTTCTTATTGAGTGTGTTTAACATTAAGCCATTGAGCACAACCAACCAGTAAAAGATGATAAAAGCAACAAACAGAGCAAGTGGAAGAGAGTTTTGCGCTAACAAATTCAATTTGCATTGCCATTAAGCAACAAACAATTCTGCTGTAATGCACAGCCTCACATACATTATCATTATACAACAGTAACATATAACATGACCCCGTTCAAGAACCCGGATTCCTATTTTTCGATACAAACTACAAACTAACACATGACAGCAACCAAGAACAAAATAATAAATAATTTGGTCGTGTACCAATACCACATTAATTAGTGATCGTTTTCTGCTAATTAATTTCATCATCTACATGTTTAGTTCATGCATTTTAATTATGTTACGTTGTTTTATATGAACAGATTAGAGATTAATTGAATTATAAATATTGTAATTTGATCGGATTAATTTGTTAACTTACCACTAACTTTGTTTTTAATTTGTTTAATTTGTTTCAAATCCTTTAGCTTTCCTTGAAAAATTGTTGAATTGGCAAAAGGAGAATCATCCGGTACCTGTAAAAACCTCTGCAGAATCGAAAGATGTTAAAGTTACTAGATGCAGTAACTCGAATAATTGCATGGAAGCAGAGGTCTCTGCATTCGTAGACAATAATGACAAAGGCACATTTTGTTTCATCGACTCATTTCTTATTAGATTTTCGACGCAATGTGATAGTTCGTTGTAAATTTACTACACTTGGAAAAATTTATTTCTGTTTTCTGAATCGGCTTTGCCCGAATTAGTACATGAAATTTTATCTTACTGTTATGTTTTATGTTCATGTTTCAACACGATTAGAGTTTTCTAATCACGTGGCTCAAGACACTCCGAAAACCAAACTGAAGTCCTCGGGCAAGTCACCACATCTCTCAAGTAGTTCAACGTTAATGAAACCCACGGCGAGTCAGTTGGCCAAGCAAAATGACCACCGAGAGGTGCACTCCAATCCGTTATTAAGGAGGTGCTGTCATCAAGGTATCTTTTGTTCTAATTGTTTGGTGGTCTAGTTTTCTAACTTGTCCCATTTTCCGACTCTTGATTGCAGAGTTGCGAAAAAGCTCGGGAAACTTGATGAGAAATCACAGAATTCTCCGCCACCTACGATAGGCTACGAAAATTCGAAGCAATGTAGCATAGCACTTTGCAAATTGGGTAGTACTATCCACACACCTATTTTTACTTCTCATACACCCCTTTCAATTTTTCGGTCATTGGAAAAATTGGTGATAAATAGCACTATCCTACAAATTACGCACCCGAAACTATATCAGAAGAGCGAATATAACGTATTAAAGTACCATCTCACTAAATTATCCAACAATGTTTCAGAGATTAGAAACAATCATACCACTTTCAGCTCAGTCATTCCATCAAACGGCTGGTACGCTGCAATCCCACTTATGCTCAAATCACCGCCGTCCGTTCCCACCATCGATTCCATCAAATTCTCCGAAACCCATTTCTCAATCAAATCCAAACACATCTGCAACCACACCCAGAAAATTAAAAAGTAGAACTTTGCATAAACTCCACTCCGGAAACATAATTTACACAAAACCCAACAAAATCTCACCCTGTTCTCGGACAATCCGAGTTGAATAACCCCATCCGGATTATCCACCCTATCGCACGGGTCCTCCGAAGCCCTGTCCAACCCGATAGAGTACGGCGAGTCGTTGGGCTTCGCAACCCAGCTCACCCGGGAGGAGATCCGGACCCGGCCCATGGACCCGCGGGTGGACAAGCTGGACCGCGACAGCGTTCTGGGGAGCTCCGCCAGGTTGGAGGAGGACTGGGAGGGGGAAGGTGGATCGGGTTTGGAGGGTCAGCGTCGTTTTAGGTAGAGCTGGAGGCAGTAATAGAGAGCACATGGGATTAGAGAGCCGAGGATGAGGCCACCTCTGCCTTGGACGACGCCTTGGAGTGGCACAATCAGTCTCATCGCGGTGAATCCGGTGGGTTTGTTTCGGGTTGGGTCGGAGTCGGGTTCGCGGGTCCGGGTCTCGAGCTGTGGTGGGAGGGGGTCGGGTTGGCCGTTGGATGGCGTCGAGGGATTGAGTGAGATTCGAGAGCCCTGCGAGGGAAGTGTGTGTTTTGCAGATTTGCTTCCAGAAACTGTTGGTCTGTTTATGATTGGCACCTGCCAGTTTCGATCTTTGCATCTTTTGTTGGTGGCGTGCTAACACCATCGTCGTATAATAACAAAAAGAACGAAATTTCATTCTTATTGGGGTAAATAAGTAATTTTGAACCAAATGCTTTTTTTTTTTTTTGAAAACTAACAAAATGCTATTCTTATCGTATTTTTCATATCGTATTTGTAACCGTTATAAATATGAGATATACGTGTGTGTGAACCATACTTTTATTAGATAGATTGAGAAATTTTTTAATGTGCTCAAAACAATAGCCGTACCATATGTCATGGTGCAAATACTAGATACTGTTCCATGTATTAAGCACATTGAAAAATCTATGAGAAAAGTGGTAAAATGTAAACGACTTCATGAATGATGGTAGGCCTACCAAATATAAAAGGGGTTTTTTAACTTTAATCCTTCAAGAATATTGAAATTTAAAATAAATGTGGTGTTAGATTACGTATTGATTATGATCTCTTGATGTGTCCTTAATTCAAAATAATTAATGTGAATTTTATTTAATGTCTCCCATTAAATATTTGAATTTATTAATATACAAATTTTAATTTATTTTTTGACCAAAAAAAAAGTTTTTTTATTTATTAATTTTATTTAACATTCTTCAAACTTGAAAGACTCAATTAATGTACCTAAATGTTAGTACCAAAATGTATTATATTAAACTAGCGTATTTAAATGTTAGAACCGAAATGTATGTATTGAAATATATGTACCAAAATGTATTATATTAAATTAATGTACCTAAATATGTGTAGCGAAATGTTAGTATCGAAATATATTATATTGAATTAATGTACTTAAGTGTTTGTATCGAAATGTATGTACCGAAATGTGTGTACCTAAATGTATGCATCAAAATGTATTATAATGAATTTAATGTACCTAAATGAAGAAAACAAAGTACATCAAAATATATTGTATAACCAAAATTAGTTTATCTAAATGTTTACAACAAAATATATTACGACAAATGAAATGAATTATAATTATAATGAAATAAAGTTAATGCATTAAAATTAGGAAGAAAAAGAGAAGTAATTAAAAAAATCAAAATGTAATTAATAAATGAGGTTATTAATGTATCAAGGAACTAAAATTATATTTTGATCTTACTCATGGTTTTAGTCTAAAAATCATCCTTGTCACGAATTAATATGAAGTTCTCTAATTATAAAATGGCGGTTGTTTGTTTATTTGTCAAACCCAGCTGATGCAATGGTTGGTGTGGTCTCACTTGTTGGCCTCAACGACTGCTATTGCTACAACATAGCAATTTTCCAGCTCAGCTGACTATATTGCAAAGATGTAAACTTTCTTTTTATTCATCTCCGATCGCATTGTTAATCACCTCTCTAATTCGAGTAAATGGTTGAGACAAACGCTGACTCATCACATCACTTTCATAGATTCGCGCTCCTTGCAATCGAGAAAGTCATCTGCAACCTAAGCAGAAATATTCCACCACAATTTATTCGTGCTCTCTGTTGATAGGGCGTTTAGAGCAGTTGCTGGATTTCAAATCTTCAACACCTCGTCAGGGTAACGATTATTTGGTCAAGGTTGAGAGATTCACCATTAAAAGCCCTTCAAAATCTACCTAATCTGTTGGAGCTAGTTTTGAAAATCAATGCATATGATGGTGTGGAGCTGCATTTTGAGGAAGGAGGATTTCACAAACTGAGGCATCTGGAACTCAGGGACATGGAGGGACTGAATTCATTGATCATAGACAATGGGGTTATGCCTCTTCTGCAAGACTTTCACATTGGACCTTCCCCACAACTGAAGGAGGTGCCCTCTGGCATCCACCGTCTCCGAAAGCTGAGATATCTTGCTTTCTTTGACATGCCAAAGGAGTTTGAACGACATATGGATCCAAATAATGGACTGCAACATTCGATTGTTGAACATATACAAGATGTCCGCTTTAGTTACAAGTTCGGACCAAGATGGTGTTGTATATGAAACTCACGCCCTACGTGATTCCAACTTTTCTTTTTGGTAGAAGATTCCGACTTGTGAAACCAAGCACGGGAATGGGATGGTCTCTTTTTGTACAATTTTTGGTTAGAGGTTTAGGAGTCGTTAAGAGTTGGTTGTTAGCTCTGGTATCCTAGTTTCTCTTGCAGGTTGACTGGGAGTGGCTCTCTCTTTGGTTTTCTTTGTGTCGTCCAGTCAAGTGACCTTCCTCGCATTTTCCTTATAATTTTATTGGTGGTTGCAATAAAACTATCTGTTTATAAAAATAAAAAATAAATAGGTATCGTCACCTTAAACTTAGAATGCTCAAATGTCATTATAAAATTTCATTGAACTTTATGTGAATGAATCAAGTTTTTACAAACATAAATGGCAACTATTTACCTCCAATCTTTGTTGTAAAAATGAAAAATCCATTCAATTTTTTTTTTGGTGAGTTTTGTCCCTAAATTAACAATTAAACTAATTGAGAAAAGCAATTGAAGAAAGCCGAGATTTCATCATAAAACCAATTGGCAACATGAGGAGTAGTCTAACTATGCAAGGTCCCTCTTTCCATCAATGAGATTCATTCTCAACATGCCCCTTACATGTGATGAATTTTCAATCTGAACACGTAGACAACACAAATGGGGTGACGTAGAGCACGTGTGGCCGTTGGGTTTCACGCGTGGGACAACTTGTTTTGATACCATGAAGAAGTTGGGGTTCCACCATAAAATCAATTGGCATTATGGGGAGTAGCCCAACTACTTATAAGTACATGCAAGGTCCCTCCTTCCATCAATGTATGATTCATTCTTAACAATAATAAGACTGAAGAACATGATTTAGTAAACTAAATCTTACCATTTTTCATCATAGAAGAGGCAGGCATTGACCATTGAGGTGGTGCTTATCTTACCATTTTAACGATAAGCACAAAATAAAGAGTAAAGTGAATAGTACCAAAATTGACTTTTTAGTGTAAAAATGTGGTTTTTCGTTAAAGTGAATAGTACCAGAAGTTTTTCGTTAAAGTTCCCCTTTTTTCAGGGTCCGAAGCACGGGCACCTACATCATATGTCATTATACAAGTGGAGAAACACTTAAAAAAAAAAAAAAAAAAACAAAAAAAAAAAAAACGTTCCCAACACTTCGTACAATAACATATGGGATGCCATCTGTACTTTGAACACATTAAAAATTCTCTTTTACTAGAGATGTGATCACATGTGTTCATGTGTTGAAGGCCTTCTTCTATTAAAAAATATGATAATTTTGAATTGAAAGTTTGGAAGGCTTGACGAATGACGGCAGGCCTACCAAGTATAAAGTGGTGGTTGTTTGTTTATAGGAGAGTGTTTGAATTTAATTTTCGTTTGGTTGTGCTACCTTTTCTGAATCTACTTCATTAATTTGGTGCTCTGGAATCATGGTGCTGATTAAGTGATGCGATAGACCTATGAGCATCGTACTCCCTATCACAATTTATGGTTTGAGATTTTGTTCTCACATGATCACCTTGTAACATGAAGTTTTACATTTTATCTGTGTAATCATGCGGTTCCTAATGAGCTCAGATGAGTGGTTGAAGTCTACTCATTACTTTGCAATTAGTGATGCTTATTGTAATATTTTTAGATCTAGTTTATAAAGACCCTTTTGAAGCCAAATTCTTCATGATATATATTTATAATGCTCTTCTATAAATGAATGAAAATATCATACTCATCTTATTTTAAAAAAAAAATAAATAAAAGAGTTTGGGTAGGTATTACTATTGATGCAAAGCCACAGGCAACCTTGTTGGCTTTGGTAAGGCAAACCATTAACCATGCAATTACTAGTCAATCCCAGCTGCCAGCTGGTGCAATGGTTGGTTTGATCTCATTTTTTTGGTGTGCCTTGTATAATGACATGTGGTGCTCTATTATGTATTTCAATCATATTAAAAAAATTCTCCTCATATATCATTCTATGTCCAGGGCATAATATATGAAAAGGGATCATCTCCGGATCCCTTCCACCTAATTCTCCTCATCAAAAAATCGTGACTTTTGAAATTTAATCCAACAACTAAAGTTATTATAACTTTTAAAGTGAGCCTCTATATATTAACTGTTTGATCAAATTTCAAGGATTCAGATTATTTGATAAGGAGGATTAGGTGAAAGGGATCCTTTCCGGAGCCCTTTTCATAATATACCAGCAGTTCTTGAATTATTGAAAATTGAATCACAACAAGACTACAATATGATATGATGGATTGAAAAGGGATATTCTTTGGATCTCTTTCTCCTAATCAACAAAATCAAAAAATCAGTGCCGTTAAAATTTGATCAAACGACTAAATTTATTATAATTTTTAAAATGAATCTCTATTTAGTACCGTTTGATCAAATTTTAATGGCACGAACTTCCCTATTGATTATCTAACTCAATATGAGCTAATCGCTGCCTTATCACATCATAATTCAATATGAGCCAATCGCTGTCTTATCACATCACTTCCACAGTTTAATTCACCTTGCATTTCGTCTGCAATGGATTCGGATTTCATCGGGATTCAAAATATGGGGATATTAGAGATCCTTATATCTTAATCATTCATTGTGTATTGTGCGATCAGAAATTATTTGATGTTTTCATTTAAAATTAAACATAAATAGTATCTGACGAAAACTAATCGTACGATGTACAATGAATGGTTAGGATGTGAGTATCTCTATAATTCCCACCAGGTGAATTCAAAGAGGATCCTCTTCCGTCTGCAACCTAACCAGAAATACTGCACACAGAATTCTAAAATGTTCAAAATTTCATATAATTGAGCAAATATTAATCAATTATAGATGTTTTGTCTACCAGAAAGGGGAAGAATACAAAATGGCAGAACACATTGTATGCTTTGTGATCGACAAGTTAGTTCAACTACTCATCACCGCAGAAGCAAACCTTTCGAGAAATG